ACGAGTCTAGGAAGAAGTTTAAGAGTAAGTAGTTTAGCCTATATAGAGTTATTTAGTCATATCCACTTAGAACTTATGCCCTAGAGGAACTATCTAGATAGGTACTACGCTACCTCGTTAATAGGTCGCGCCTAATCGAAGCGAACGTGGATAATCCTAAAGCCCTATAGGCCTCGTCCACGTCATATTTAGCTTTAAGGAGAGCTAGCCTCCGCCTATAGAAGCTAGAGGAGCTCTAAAGGGTCCTTAACGACGAGGACGACTCCTAGCTAATATATTCAGACCTTTCGACCTTTACTTAGCTAGAGTAGGAGTAGTCGCGACGTACAGGTACATAGTCAGGTTTAGTAGGGGAGGAAAATATAGTTATGGAGCGCGTGCTCGCGAAGAGCCATACAACCGCTAAAAGGAAAGGCTAGTATATAGTAACTACACTACCTATAGCCAATACTATAGAGTAGAATAAATAGGACTCTAGCGTAAACGATTACGAATTAGTTATATCGAGCATAGCAGAGTCAGAATGCGAAGAAGCCAATAAAGTAACTATAATAAGGGTGCGACTAGATTAGGACGCCATCTAGCCATAGCTAGTCCACTTCAAAGGGCCATTCGCGGTAGTGATCTAGTCACTATCCATATAGTTAAGTATAGTATGCATAGGTATATATAGGACTTATAGTAAAAACGTAAGGGGGGGGATAGCTATAGCTTATCTCTAGTACTATTAGGTATAAAGGACGTATAGTTAAGTGCGGGCTATATAGTTAAGTATAGGTCTTATATAGTAAAGTATAAGGGGGGATAACTATAGGTTATCTCTAGCGTTATCAAACGCGAATAGATCTAATTAGGTACAAGAAGAAATTTAATTAAAATAAACGCCTATATATAGGAAAGAAATTAATATAGAAACTCTTTAACCTAAATTAATACCCGCGAATAGATCACTGATATCCTTAGACTTAGACGACTAAGAACTATCGGCCTCCTTATGATGCTCTAGAACCTTCTATATAGTTTCCTTCTCCTAAGCGACATATATAGTAACCTCGTTAAGCCTCTTCTAGAGCACGCGGACCTTACTCTAGTCCTACTTAAAGAGCTCATCACGCGTTAGCACAGTATTATAAATATCCTTAGGGTAATCAGGACCCTTAGGAAGCTTCTTTACTCTCCTCTCCTCCTTAGAGGTGCTCTTAGAACTACCCTTAGTAGTGGCCGCACCCTTACATCGCCGCTTTAATCTAGCTAAATTATTAGAAGCCTTAGCCTTAACGCGAGCCCGCTTCTTCTACTTCTAACGCTTAATAGCGGGAGACTCTAACTTAGAAGGGGTATGGTGCTTACTAAGACGAGCTAATTTAGGGTTAACGGCCTAGATAGCGTCAACGATAAAGTTAGATATCTCTATCTTAAAATTACAGCACGAGGTCGAACCACCCTAGCCACAATTTCCACAGGCTCCACTAAAATAAGGAGTATCGCTAACTAACCTAATAACATAGGATTTGAATGGACCTAGACCATCGGCATAGCACTCGCACTCCTCGCCTAGAGGAGCTATAACGCTAAATTACTAAATATACACAGCACGGCGTTACACGGCTAAAACCGTTCGCTTAGGTTATTATCATCGCTAGTTAATATCCCAGTCAGCTAGAGTTAACGTAAGCGTATATTCAATATTAGTCGCCATAAAGATCAGCAACGGATTATTCGAGTCATCGAGGCCCTTAGTAGTGCCCTCCTATTAGTTAAACTTATCTAAAGGAGCTCCGCGTGGCTTCTTAGGCATATTCTCGGGCTACTTACCCTTATCCTCGGGATTAGTAGGATCGGTTTCCTTACCCTAGCTTCTGGACAGACCCGCAATAGCTATCGAGATATTAGTGAATAACCAACACAAGAAAGAGGGATATCTTATAAGATATGGTACTTATTAGTACTAGAATAGAGATATCTAAATAAGGAAATATTATAGGAGATAATAATAGAGTATAATAAATAGAAGAGAGAGGAAGACGGGCAAGTTACGTCCTCTTATACCTCGCTAGTATTAGGACTTTCCATTCCTAGCAAGTAAACACAAAAAACGTCAACGGGCTAGTCACGAGCGAGGACGATTAAGATCCTTAGCTTAGCCCTAACTAAGACGTTACTAAGTCTATTAGAATAGATCTCGAAGATAAGGGCCGCTTTTAAGGCCTTTATAAGAGCTAAAACACTTAGCCCAATCCTTAAAGACACATGCGCCTATTCCTAGTCACGCTAAGCTCTAGACGAGCGATTTCCTTTATCTATAATACGTATAAAGACCTAATCACAATAAATTATATATATTAACCCCTACATATATCTAAAATTAGCTACTCTTCCCCTATATTACTTAAAAAGATCATGGAAGGATGCTGGCTCTCCTAGCCGCGTCCAGTAGGGCACGCATAGAGGATGAATTATCAGGCAGGATCTTATATACTTAGAAAATTTCAGTTTATAGAGCGCAGAATATACTCTAGTCTAGTGGGGGAGGATAAGGTAACAGGACGACCTATTACCGCCCGGCAGAATCCAGCTAGATTCTACTAAGCCACACCGCCTCCAGCCAGACCCTTAAGAAGAGAGTCATTAGGATTCTCTTTAGAAAACATGCAATCCTACTCGAATCACAGTAGTAATAATAATAATAAAACTCTTCTAGTAATAGAGGAAGAAAATACCCTAATACATATATTAGTAAGGACGCGGAAACGTCCTAGGAATTTTAAGGATAACTAATATATTTATCCTAGACCTTAAATAGTTTATTAATATTAATATTCTTTAATTAAATTACTTCTAAAATCAATTATAGCTACTAAGCTTATATATATGAAATACCTAAAAATACAGACTAAAAATGCATATTTTTATATTATACTAAAATAAGTAGATGTTTGCACTATTTAAAGCATAATGGGGGCCCAATAGGCCCCCATTTATAGGCCTTAGGTCTAAGGCAAAGCCTAAGGCCCATAAATAGGCCGAGCAGCGGGCCTAAAACCCAACCTATTCATGGGTTGGGTTAGGTTAGGCTTTGGGCTTTGTGGGTTTTGGCGATGTCTAGTCTGGATTTAGCCTCCCTCTAATAATTATCTTTAAGGGTAAAGTTTTCATCATAAGCTAGGCTAATAAACTTCTAAATAACTAGTAATTTAAGGTTAGCCTAAATAGATAGACCTTAGACGAAATTAGCCTTCGCTAGCTTAAAAAGGTCTTTCTTCTATTAGCTTTCTCAAGAATAAAGGGGAAATATCGACTCCTAGTTCTTAACAGTCACAGGAGCCATTTAACTCTAAAATTTGATGAAATTTACTATCAAAATGATATGATTCTAATTTATATACCACCGCACTCTTCTTATCTTTTATAACCTCTTAATATAGGTTATTTTACGGTTCTTAAGCGCGCGTATGGTTAAATCGTTAAAAATTTAATATAGATTAGAGTGAACCATATCGATAAATTAGACTTTCTCGACGCTTTTCTAATCGCTCGAAATAAGGTATTTAAGCTAGAAATAATCTAAAATAGCTTCTTAGTAACTAGATTAGTACCATATGATCCAAATCGAGTGATTTTAAAGCTTAATATTCAACTCTATACACCCACACTACTACCTTCTCAAGGGAGCGAAAGCAGCGCGTGGGAGCTAAAAACACCATTAAATTATAAATAACTCCAGAAGCAAGCTTCTTTAATTAAAAAGCTCTTAGAAAAACGCTCTAAGAGCCTACCAAGCCCGTTGAATTCTGCTATTAATTAAGTGCTAAAAGCTTGCCAAATCACAATGTAATCTACCGCTTTTCTTACTCGAGAAAACGAGCTTTTACGTGCTAGAAACGAATAAAAGAAGCAGAAAAAGGCAAGATCAAAGCAATAGATAGCTCATTTAGAAGGTCTATTAGTGGTAGAGCTCAAAGAATTAGCCTAAAAGGTTGAAAATCCATAAATTCAACCTTAAGATAGAGAGCCAACCAGTCAAAATCCAGGTTAAGAACCACGACGTCGGGCTCCACCAAGGTGCTTAGAATGTAATATCCAAGGGCATAAAAGAACGCATTATCCAAAACTGGTTAAATAGCTTAGATATTCAATATTACGTTATTTCGGGTGAATTATGCTGGTTTGAATTAATTGAAGTTGATGGGGTGTCCCGGCCGACCGGGTGTCCCGCTCGCTTGTGAAATACGTTAGTCCCGTCCTGTATGACTAAGCTCCCACGGGCACGGGACTAGAATTTAGTAGCTCCCGCGGGTTTTGTCCAGGTCTAGTGCTTAGAGACTAAAGATCTTGTTGGGTGGTTGTCTTAAGTACGAAGTAGAGTGTGGATGAACTGTGAGGTACCAAGTAGTAATACAGAATTGAACACGAAGAACTAGATACAAGATGCGATAACGAGTGTCCATATACACCTCATCCTTCCTGTTGTCTGAACAGGACACTTCCTGTTTGCCCGTCAGGTCTGTTCCGTTCGAATAGATAGATTGGTGCCTGATCAGTAAGTGTTATGCTAGCATAGTATCGCTAAAAACTCTAGACTGTCCACGGAATTTCTGGACTTAATCCGAATCCTGGTTGCCGAGAAGCGTGAAGATTCCGGAACCGAAAGCCAGTGATTCGCTCACAAAATAGTGGGGCCTCCCGAAATCTCCATCCACATGCCGACTCCCGGATTTATGCGGTTCTTCAACGGATAGTGCTACTATTTTGCTGACATAGCCCCTAATTTTTTGTGACACTTACAATACACTCCGGAACTAAGCAGGCTGTCGGCAAATTCGGACTGTGGAAATAATTCCGTTTAACTGCATAAAATCTGCGATCTCCCACAGACATCTTAAGTATCGCGGAATTGAAAAAAGAAAGAGTCATTGAAACCAGTCGCAGCACGCCATCGCAGCTTTTGATTGCTTTCTCTACGACCTGTGGGACGTAAGGCTTCACTTACATTGGATGCCATGCCGTATTTGGAGGATCTCCAGCGAGGAACTTCAAGGTTGGACCTGGAGCGTACTGCGTCCGCTACTACCTCATGTCGCGAAGATCCTCAGCATGACCTTGCCATCGAACGAATAGATACATATCGAGTCCAGCAGCAAGCTACCATTGGGTCGACTCGCAGCCGAGTACCACGAGAACAATGGCTGTCTATGGGGGCCGGCAAGCCTTATCCTCCTGATCTCCCCAATGCAGAAGGATATATTGTTGAATTTGAGGGCTCTGATGACCCTGCGCATCCCCAGAATTGGCCCTTTCGGTTGAGGTACGTATCAAGATCTCCACAGGGCAGAATATGGATCAATCTCGACCTGATACAATATGACATTTTGCCAGAGTAACGATCGGTTTCATCCTGACATTCTGCGCACTCATTGCAGCCTACGGCAGTGCCGTGTTCGCTACGGCAGTGCCGTGTTCGCTACGGCAGCTGATGGAGTTATCAAGGAATTCGGTTTCAGTCATGAAGTTGCTGACCTTGGCACGACTCTCTACGTTCTGGGATTCGCCGCGGGGCCAACCATCTGGGCTCCAGCATCCGAGCTAATAGGTCGTCGTTGGCCGCTGCTTGTTGGAATGTTTGGTTTTAGCGTGTTCACCATTGCATGCGCCACGGCCAAAGATGCCCAAACCTTATTTCTCACCCGTTTCTTCTCTGGCTTCTTCGCCGCAAGTATCATTGCACTTGTCCCCGCTACAATGTCTGATATTTTTATGAGTGCTGATCGTGGGGTCGCCATCGCCATGTATACCGTGTCTGTGTTCACGGGGCCATTCATTTCCCCCTTTATCGGCGGCTTCACAGCAGCCAGCTATTTGGGCTGGCGATGGACTCTGTATGTCCCTGCAATTGTGGGGTTCTTTGGTCTTGCTTTGATGGCCATCTTCTGCAAAGAGACTTATCCGCCCGTGGTGCTTATTGAAAAGGCCTCCATTCTACGCCGGCAGACTCACAATTGGGGTATTCATGCCCGGCAGGATGAAATTGAGGTCGATTTCCGTGAATTGGTGACCAAGAACATGGCGCGCCCCTTCCTAATCTTATTTACGGAACCGATTGCTTTTTGCCTCACAGTGTACATGTCTTTTCTTTACGGTTTGGCTTATGCGTTCCTTGAGGCATTCCCATTGGTGTTCACAGACGTCCACGGCATGCCTGCGGGGGTGAGCGGATTACCCTTTATTGCTTTGATCATTGGACAAATCTTTGGTGCTGTATTTGTCTTGGGCTTGCAACCGACATTCCGTTGTAAGTCAGAGGAAAACCATGGCAATTGGGTGCCAGAGTGGCGTTTACCCCCCTGTATCTTGGGAGGTGCTATATTTTCTGCCGGCTTGTTCTGGTAAGATTCCATCAAGCAAAACCATTTATTCGGGGTAATCATGCTAATCCTGGACTGATTTCAGGTTCGGCTGGACAGGATGGAGTTCCTCGATCCATTGGATGGCTCCAACAGCTTCGGGAGTCTTCATTGGGTTCGGCTTGACGTCAATATTTATGTCGTGTTTCAATTACTTGTTGGATTCTTATTCTAATTTGTAAGATCATTCTATCATTGAAAGCCGTTCATCGCTAATCAAAGCAGCGCTGCGTCCGCCTTCGCCGCCAATACCATGATGCGATCGATGGTGGGAGCCTGCTTCCCCCTCTTTACCACTCAAATGTTCAACAACATGGGGATCCAATGGGCAGGAACACTTTTGGGATTTATGGCTGCTATAATGGTGCCTATCCCGGTACTGTTCTATGTGTATGGTGGTCGTCTTCGGCGGATGAGCAAGCTGGCTCCAGTGCAAGAGCCAATCTGTTAGGGAATCCTCGACAATTTCAGGCTTCCCGAACCATTATATCCTCTTGGAACTAATATCACTAGAATGCTCTTTCGTTCAAGAGCATAAAGCTACCCTTTTATCTTTTCTAGAGCCCTCCTAGGCAGAATCAGACCGCCTAGAGGGACGCTAACCAAAATAGACTTCCGCAGAGCCTAACTTAGCCTAAGCCTAACCCAGGCCTAACACCTAACTAGGTTAGGCTTGGGCCTGGAACTCTAGCCTAGCACTAGGCCCTAGGCCAGAGACTCGGGCCTAGCCTAGGTCTAGGTAGACCTGGACAAAACCCGCGGGATTCCCACCATGGGATAGACCTAGACTTCCGCAAAACCTAAGTTGGGTCTAAAGTCTCGACCCAAAACCTAACCCAGGCTGGGTCCGGGTTGAACTTCTATAACCCGGACCTAACCCGGACCTAATGTTAGGGCCCTAATAAAACCTAACTTAACCTAACTCGACCTAACTTTTTCATAATTCTGGTCATAAAACTGCTTAGTCATTAAGATAATATAACGTATTTCACAAGCGAGCGGGACACCCGGTCGGCCGGGACACCCCATCAACTTCAATTAATTCAAACCAGCACAATTCACCCGAAATAACGTAATATTAAATATCTAAGCTATTTAACCAGTTTTGGATAATGCGTTCTTTTATGCCCTTGGATATTACATTCTGAGCACCTTGGTGGAGCCCGACGTCGTGGTTCTTGACCTGGATTTTGACTGGTTGGCTCTCTATCTTGAGGTTGAATTTGCGGATTTTCAACCTTTTGGGCTAATTCTTTGAGCTCTGCCACTAATAGACCTTCTGAATGAGCTATCTGTTGCTTTGATCTTGCCTTTTTCTGCTTCTTTTTTTCGTTTCTAGCACGTAAAAGCTCGTTTTCTCGAGCAAGAAAAGCGGTAGATTGCATTGTGATTTGGCAAGCTTTTAGCACTTGATTAATAGCAGAATTCAATGGGCTTAGTGGGCTCTTAGAGCGTTTTTCTAAGAGCTTTTTAATTAAAGAAGCTTGCTTCTAGAGTTATTTATAATTTAATGGTGTTTTTGGCTCCCACGCGTTGCTTTCGCTCCCTTAAGAAGGTGGTGGTGTGGGTGTATAGAGTCGAATATTAAGCTTTGAAATCACTCGATTTGGATCATATAGTACTAATCTAGTTGCTAAGAAGCTATTTTGGATTGTTTCTAGCTTGAATGCCTTGTTTCGAGCGATTGGAAAAGCGTCGAGAAAGTCTAATTTGTCGATATGGTTTACTCTAATCCGCATCAAATTTTTAACGATTTAACCGTACGCGCGCTTAAGAACCGTAAAATAACCTATATTAAGAGGTTATAAAAGATAAGAAGAGTGCGGTGGTATATAAATCGGAATCACATCATTTTAATAGCAAATTTCATTAAATTTTGGAGTTAAATGGCTCCCGTGACCATTAAGAACTAGGAGTCGATATTTCCCCTTTATTCTTGAGAAAGTCGATAGAAGAAAGACCTTTTTAAGCCAGCGAAGGCTAATTTCGTCTAAGGTCTATCTATTTAGGCTAACCTTAAATTGCTAGTCGTTCGGAAGTTTATCAGCCTAGCTTGCGATGAAAACTTTACCCTTAAAGATAATCATTAGAGGGAGGCTAAATCTAGACGCGCCTATACACTTAATTGAGGTTACCTATTCACGATTTCTAGGCTATAAAAGAGCGCGCCGACCGTAATATTCAGCTCTTGTCACAACTTTTGCGGTCACGGTTAAGCCTATCGCAAAGCCCGTCTCATTAAAATTATAGATATCATTTAGATTAATCCCGTTATCATGAATCGTCTTTTGAACGAGATTAAACCATTCTCTTATGATTTTTAGATCTTCATATTTTACGCGTGCGTAATTATAGCGTCTCGAGAACTGTATATTAAGCTCTAGGTGTCGTTTAACATAATTTATTACCTAATTCTTGCCGACGGTTTAAATCGGGGTCGTTCCGCGTATCGCGAGTAAGAGATTAGCCATTTCTTATACTATTTTAGGTCGCGGTGCCGCTCCTCGGTTATCCATAGAAAGTACCCATTTCTCTAGCGAATTCTCCTCGATTTCGGTTAATTTGAATGAATTCGGGCGGGATTCGACGCGGTTTTCGCGTCCAACAAGACAGGCATGAAGTGTTGATTTTGGAACGTCATATATACGTGCTGCCTCACGAATTGATAGCTTATCCTGCTTTTTAAGAGCCTGGATAGCAAGCAAAATCCGGCCTTCTTGATGTGTTAAATTCTGACGATTTTGAGAGCGAATTGGTGGCATGGTGGGTGGTTGGATAAGAAAGGTGTGATTAATTAACGCGTTTTGGTTGGGGTGTCCCGGCCGACCGGGTGTCCCGCTCGCTTGTGAAATACGTTACTGTTTTTTATATCTATCTGGTTTATACAATATTGCACTTTGCCTTCTTTGTAGAAGACTCTGGAAATTTTGAGAAATAACTTTGTAATCCTAGAGATTATCTTAAGCTTATGCTAATTAAAGATAAAAATCTGTTAAAATCTATTAATTAGAGAGTAGTTTATGGATAATATGATTTTTACCTGAAATTAGTGATGTAGTGATAGAAATATATATATTCTCTAGTTAATACTAAATATATGTATCTTCTAGGAATATGTAAAATTATAGTAAACTCTGCTATTTTTACTTAAAGTAGTAAATATTATATATAAGAGTTATTCATTTTGCTTACTTATTTTAATTAGCTTACTTTAAAACTATATAAAATAAGTATATAGAGTAGGAGGGCTAGTTGAATCTTAAAGTTTTATATCTTAGCGGAGAGGGTTGAAATTTTTTAAGGTTCTTAAAGGTATATTAGGGTGGGAATTAGGTTTTTGCTGGGTTAATTAGGTTATTATTGGGTTATTACTGGGTTTTTTGGGTTATCTTAGGTTTTTTAGGTTATCTCTATTAGATATCGCTAAAGCCCATAAAGCCTAAAGCCTAACCCGACCTAACCCATAAATGGGTCGGGTTTTGGGCCCGTTGCTTAGCCCATTTATGGGCCTTGGGCTTTGCCTTGGGCCCAAGGCCCATTGTTGGGGGCCCATTGGGGGCCCACTAGTGTATAAATAAGATAAACATTTACTAATTTTAGTAAAAAAGCAAAATATATAGTCTTCTTATGCATTTTTCTGTATTAGTCAGTAGATTTATGAGCGCCAAGACCAGTTTTATGCAAAGTTGGGCTTTTTATGGGGGCCAAGCCCATAGTGGGTTGGGCTTTGGGCCTGACTCTGGGCCCATTTTCAGGTTTTGGCGATGTCTAACGGGGTGCACGGAAGCGAACTAAACTAGATAATGATCAATAGACGTACCATTAATATAAAAAATAAATAGTTTTCACTAATTTATCAAGAATTTAATATAATCATTTCTATAATAAACTATGTAATTCTAATACTCAACAATATAGAAGAATACTACATAAATAATGTAAGTCACGGGGTGATTGATTCTCGCTGCCAAGAAAGGTCTATAGACGGGCGTAGTGGGCGTTAGGCGTTGGGCCCTACCCCCTAGGCCCGTCCATGGGCAGGCCCGCTATGGGCATTGCCCGCTTACATAATGTCCATGGGCATAGCCCACGCGCCCGTCCATGGGCGATGTCGCAGTCTAGCTAGTATACGACACTGTCGATCGCCCGTCGGGTATTCACCGCTATAATCGAGGCACCGGGCTCTTACTCCTGGTAGGCATCGCTCCCGTTTATATTGGCCTGTATAGTGTCCGCATCGTGGCGTTTCCTTATATAACCATGCTAAGTGACTAAATTGTTGACACTAGAAGCATCTCTTCTTCTTGATCTTACGGCGTTCTACGCTACCGATATATCTCTGGCCTACTAGAAGCCTGTTGTTGAGGATATATTCGGCTCCTTCTACGGAATCGAACTATATACCGAGCGATGCGAATTTCCCTAGCGTCTTATCCTTCCTCTTAAGCCACGCTACCTTTTCTACCTAAAATCCCTGCTTAGAAAGCTCGTTTTTAGCGGTGATCTTATCGATAGCCTAGGCATTTACGTTATCTAAATTAAGGTCCTCGGTAGGGGTACGGTGTACCACGACCCCGAACCGTAGTTTCACTAGTTTTGTGTTATTCCCGAGCTCGTTTAACCACTGGGTATTGTTTCGGGCTGCCTCTGCTGATGTTTCGTCCTTAAATCGGATCAAGTACCCTGTTTCGGTGGTGCCAACCCTGGCTACCTGGGCATCTTGTGTGGCTGGTGTGCTTAACAGGGCTGTGCGGATGTGGGAGTTCGCGGAGTCGGTGGGGAGGTATCGGCAGAAGGTGTTCCCTTCGGTAGTATTGCTGTCCTGTGGGTCCATAAATGACCGCTTGGTGCTAATCCGGACACAATTCTGGTCCTTATCGGGGCGGGGGTGGTTAGGCAGTGGGTTCGTGTTGGTAGAGTTGGCTACAACCGTCGCCCACGCTCGAGGTAGGGGTGCCGTCGGCGGGTTTCCTCGCAGGGCTTTGACTTCCTCGTGGAGCTTCTGATTTTGCTCGAGAAGGACATTTTGGACGTGTTTAACTTCCTGTAACTCAGTTCTGGTGGTTTCGATAAGTGCGGTTTGGCGGTGGATAATGTCCTTTAGCTCGTCGATGAGTTTCCAAACTTCGCGCGTAGTGATCCGGCCGGTGATCTCCTCTGAGGCATAGTTCTCACTGTGTCGTCCTCTCTTTCTCGTGACGCGTGTTGGGATGTTGTTCACCCTAGGCTGGCAATCGTCGACTGAGAAAACGGTCGACTCCTGCGTGTTTGTGGGTGGTGTCTCGGGCCCTCCCGCGGGTGGGTCCGCCATCGGTTAAGGCTTAGCTTCCGTTCGGTACACAACACCACGATTTCGTATCACGATAATCTTAATCACACCTACAGCCGATTGAGTACCGCTTTATCTGAAACCATACAGGATCCCACAGTGTTCCCAAATCGGAAGATACAGTATGCGCCATGGAACAAAGTGTCTGACATCAGCGCTCGACGTAGCTGAAGGACTCTAGGCTAACAGACACGAACGCTGTCATAATGCTGATAATGACTTTCCAAGTCTAGTGAATGCTTAGAGGTTTCAATTCAACACGCAACCCTTGCTGGATTCTTTTTTTCGAGTTTCTCCCTGATCTTGTTCATCAAAGCTGTCCGCACCGTCTACCCTCCGCAATATGCAAGACGTGTCGGAAAAAGTACCTGAATTGTTTGTATACCAGTACAGCCCACTTCCATCAGGGCTCAACAACATCCGTATGCTCCGCCTACTCCCGACTCCCAACAACAATGCCCCTATTCGATGTCGACTATTCGATTATTCTCTTTCTAAGGAGCGCAGAGGAGGGCACCTGTACGAAGCATTATCATACGTATGGGGAAATACCGATAAGCCCCAGACTATCTTCATCGACGATCAGTACCTCTCGGTGACTCTCAATCTCCACGAGGCCCTGTTACATCTGCGGGACTCCGTGATCGAACGGGTCGTGTGGATCGATGCGATTTGTATAAATCAGGGAGATCTGAAAGAGCGTGGTGAGCAGGTTCAGCTCATGGCCAAGATCTATAGCAATGCAGCTCGTGTGGTCGTTTGGCTTGGACAGGCTTCGAATCATAGCGACATGACGCTGGAGGCAATACGAGTCGCTGCGAGCGAGGGGTCCTCCTCGCAGTGCCATGCGTCTTTACGGGAGGGGATGGATGAACTGTTAGGACGGTCATGGTTTAGGCGCATCTGGGTGAGTTCGCACTTCACGAAGCAATCTGATCCTGGGAGGCCAATATATCAATCTCGCAGGTCCTTCAAGAAGTGGCGGCAGCCCGGCAGGTCCGACTTCACTGCGGATTTGTGGAACTCGACGGGTACACCTTTAATGCTGGCCTAAAGGCGTTAGGCAACCAGTACCCCGGTCTTATGGTCTTGCAGCGCTTGGTAGCTCCTGTAATCTACATCGTGGGAAGGGCGATCTTCCGGCCGAGAACCATGCAAAGCGCGTCGGCCCCAGGGAGCTTTTCTCTGAATATGCGGCCTCTGAGCGAGATGATCGAAATGTACAACCGCCACGAGGCAACTGTACGTCATGATAAGATCTTTGCGCTGCTAGGTATGAGTTCCGACAACCCTATTTCGGCTGGGTTAATACCCAACTACGCACTCCGGTGGACGGAGGTTTTGCGGCAAACGATTGTTTTCCTGTTAGGTTCTGGTGTGTCAGCACAGACCTGGGAGAACCGCGAGTTGGCAATTATCGAAGGGAAAGGGCTTGCTTTTGGTAAGGTGTCCAAAGTAGGCGGTGGTGATACGGACGACAATCAGGACATCGAAATCATATCCACAGTGGCATCAGGACTTCCTGATGCCAAGCGTACATTGTCTCTGCAGAGGCTGTCAAATCCGGTGAGAGAAGGTGATATTGTCTGCCTGCTTTCTGGGGCGCGAAAGCCATCTATTGTCCGACTATGCAAAGACTACTTCACTATTGTCAGAATCCAGGTCTCTATGCCGCCGATTGTGCCCAAAAATGACACTGTACACGAGTTCCTACTGCTCTGGGATTGGGAAGTCTCCGAGCAGCGATCATCTGAGCATTCTGAATACAAGTCCTTGATGGAATCTCTAGTTTCACCATGGGCAGTCGCTCGTTCACATGAGATGACCCGCTTGTGGCATGCAGCACTGATATCGCACGATGTTTGGGAATTCAGAAAGTCGAGCATAAGAGTCCAAGACTCTTTGCAAGCCCATGTAACTGAGCTGGGAGAGGAGGATTCGCGCACGTTGACCTGCATGCACAAGGCTGCAGACTTGCACATGAAGCTGGACGAGATGGTGCCAGCAGTGGCATTGTTCGATCGAGTAATAAAGTTGGCAAGGAAAAGTCAGGAGCTGGATGAAATCACGACTAACAGTCTCTCCGCGCTGGCAGCGATCTACAGGGCGCAAGGCCACTGGAGAGAGGTGCGAAAGTTAAGAGCGATGGAAGATATCATCAATCTGATGCGAAACGGCAAGCATGCCATTGATGATATAATGCCGAAGGTGACTAGGGCACCGGACAAGGAGCTCCTGATGCTTATGTTTGAGCGAGAAGGGAATAACGCTCAAGTCACGGATGATCTGCTTAGCACGATAGCCAAGGACCCCTGCGGAGCGGAAATGATGGAACTCGTCCTCGAGCATCGAGGAAGGGAAATACGTATCACAGATCCTGTGATCGCTGCAGCCGCGCGGAATGCAAGTCACGGAAAAGCAATTATTAAAGTGCTGCTTGAAAAAAGTGGAGCCGAGATCCAACTTTCAAATAACATTCTCCTCGCTACAGCAGAGAACATTGAGAGCGGTGGTGAAATAATTAAGCTTCTTCTTGACCAAGGAGAAGGCGAGATAGTTATTAACGAAGCTGTGGTGACCGCGGCCACACTAAATGCGAGCGAGGATTTTTTGAGGATATTGATGAGGAAGGAATATGGCCGGATCCAGTTTAGTCGAGGCGCGCAAATTCAGATTGTAAGCAAATGTGACAAAGGAATCATGAAGATGTTATTTGAGAAGGAAGGTGAGAGGTTCAGACCTACTGAGGATATACTCATCGCAGCAGCAGGGAGCCGCCATGGAAGGGGCGTGCTCCATATTCTCTTCGAGGAACGAGGGAATGACATCCAGATCACCGATGACGTGGTTGCTGCTGCTGCTGGTCATAAGCATGGAGACGGTGTGATACGACTCCTCCTGCAGCGCAGACGCAATGAAGTTGAGCTTACAGAAAAAGTGGTTGCAGCGGCCGCGAGATCCCTGTCTGGAACGAATATTATGAAGCTTCTCCTTGGACCCGAAGTTGACAAGGATCAATTGTCTGATAATTTGGTGGTTGAGGTGGCAAGGTATTTCAATACTGAAATCATGTCGCTGTTGCTCGATTCCATACAGGGCAATATTGAAATCACCGAGGAAATGATTGCTGCTACCCTTGAAAATCGGCATGGAGAAGAGATCTTGCGGCTTCTCTTCCACACGAGAAGGCATAAGGTGCTCATCAGAGACGATGCGGTCGTTCAGGTTGCCAAGTCATGTAACCATGAAACGATGAAGCTTCTACTTGGTGGAACGCAAAATTCGATACAGTTAACAAATCCAATTCTCATTGCGGCAACTCGGAACAAGCGCGGTCATTCAATGCTGGTGCTACTACTAAGTCGAACACGGGACAAGCTCCAAATCAGCGAAGAACTAGTGATAGAGACGGTAAGGAAGGGGAGAGGAATGCTGAGGGCATTGCTAAATGAAAGGTGCCACCAATTCCACATTACAGAAGATATCTTGGTCGCCGCTGCTGGACATTGGTACGGGAAAGAGCTTTTATCGCTTCTGTATGAAAGAAAGTCAGGGGAGATTCGGATAACTGAAAGGGTGCTCGACGCAGCAGCTGGAAGCAAGCGTAGCAAGGAAGTGGTGGAGTTTCTAGTCAATCATTCGCCTGAGGGTGTCCAGCAAACAGTGGGGCTAGTTGCCGATGCTACCGATACTACCGATACCAAACAGAAGAAAGTCATTGTGGATCTCGTGGTCGGTCAGAAACCGAACGGCTCGAGATCGCAGATGGTCCAATAGCTCAGCGTCGGGCTTGAACAACGGCGGACGCACCTCGTTCCGGTTTTGGCCTCCAGTTTGGCAACACAGGCACATGAGGGCATCTATAATTGAATAGCTCGTTAGGGAGAACTCAGGATATATAAGGACACTCATTCATGTATCTAGCATAGTTCTTCGTGTTCAATTCATACATTGTTACTTGTGTCTACTGTTCGGAAACCTTGATGACTCTTTACTTGATTATAACTTGACAACACTACGACCAGACCAATATTCCGGTATAGATTTGTTCGGCGCTATGCAGTGCTACGCCTTTTAAAGATCGTTGGTGTCCAGATTCAGGATGTCAGCGTAATGGTTGTGGCTGAGTTCCCCGTTCATCGTGGTCGGGACTTGTTGCACCGAAGTGGGTTTGGCGAGGCCAATATTCAGAGCCTTTTGGTTTTCAATGGTGCTTAAGTGAAAAACAGAAGCATCTTGACATCTCCGGCTTGTGATCAAACCGACAAACTTGAACTTAACTTTTGTTTGAACTTAATACATTAGTTTTCGAGATCCAGTTCGTCACAACTCAGGGCGACGACTAACATTTGCAAAGGAACGGATTTCTGTATAGTACTATGCATAAGCTAATAAACGGATAGATGTTTCTACTTGATCTTCCTCCTGAAGTTCTTCTTTACATATTAGACAATCTGGACAAAGCAGTCCGCACCGTTCGAGAAGCACTATTGCACTTAGCTCTGAAGGGACTTCGTTCCACCATCGTGTCTTTTCTGGCAAGTCTGAGCCGCATCCTTCGGAGCATACACCATCCACTAGCATGGGCCCGGGAAACCCAATGTCAGGACCGCTAATCTCAGAAAGAAGATTCACCTGGATGCCGAAGCTCCTTTTACTCCATTTCAGATCTGCGCTTTCGGTTCAGCGAGAAGCGTCGTTTATCAATCAATTTCAGGTCGCAAGGGTTGCTCCGCTAATAAATTCTTTACGGATCTATTCAAGGTGCCTGGCTTCAACCTAAAGGACTTTTTGGACTCGCTGCATGCTTACTTTGATTTCCCCGGCCTTATACCTCACCCTAGTGCGTGTCCGCCGACTAAGAACCCAATCAAAGTCTCAAAAGCTCCCGCTACAGTATATAGTTGTCAAGATCTCGACCCAAGACATTAGAAAAGTAAACTCTGTGATGTAGAAGTTAGAAAGACAACAGAGTCCACTAAAGAGATCTTAGGTAGGGTCGTGACATAACAGCGTTTAATTTAGGTCGTGAGCACTAGTTAAGGTATATTGATCGTTAACGCACGTAAGTGCTCGTGGTTTATATATCTCTCTCTACCCACTAACACTGTCAAAAAAGCACTATACCTCCGTAGTTCTAGCTCAAGGCCGATGAATGATTATTTCTACAATTAGACGCCATTAGTTATAGAGTCATAGAAGGAGCTTAATCTAGACTACTACTAACATAATATCAGTAGTTAGTTAAATACTATATTACAGTACTATAAACCAGATATCTATTAATCCTAACCTCTATATCACTCTCAAGGGGATAGACATAGAGACTCCTTCAGCTCTCCGTTTATATACATAAGCCAATTAATCAAGGTATTACTACGCTCTATAACACTACTCCTATTTCAGGTAGACCTAGATAAAACCCGCGGGTAATAGAAAATTCTAGTCCCATACCGTCCAGGTCTAATTTCAGGGCAGCTATAGGGCCTCCACGTGAGATACGCGTCGCGTGTCCACGCCCACGCGCGGAGTAAAAGACCTATCATACTTAGGGGCTTCAACGCTTCATATTTAATATGATAGTGCTGTTACGCGGTGCTAACTGGTCATAGTGAGTATCGCTCGTAGTGGTGCTATACATACGTCGAGGCTCGTCCTTAAGTCTCAGTCGCAATCGTACCGTTGCCAGTTAGCCTTACACGGGCTCGGATCTATAGAATAGACTATTATTGGGCAGTGCCAGATAGACCTGGACAAAACCCGCGGGAGGTCCTAAATTCTTATCCCGTGCCCGCGGGTCCTTAGTCATACGGGCCGGGATAATATGGTTTTGACCACCACGCCCCACTCCCATGGGATTTTTTTGACCGATTTCCCGTCCTGGGTATACCCACGGGTTTCCCATGGGAGTCGTAAAATTACCCATATCTACATAAAGTCCCTGTATAATCTGCTGACTAAGAATACTGAAAGATTGGTAATTTAAGCTGTTTTGGTATGTAATATAGAGCTAGAATCGAACTTGAAACCTTAAAAAAAGGGTAGTTCTAGTGGAATTTAGTAGTTCTGGTGGAGTTATATAGTCACGTGTGTATATAGATTACTACTAAAAATACAGAAAAAATTGGATAATTAATGCATGTCTAAAAAGGGTAAGTTTGCACTGTTTATAATACCCGTGGGAATACCCATATCCCATCGCGGGCGGGACATACCCCCCTAGTCCCGCCCATGGGACGGGACAAACCATTTTTGACCACCGCGCCCCACTCCCGTGGGACTAGTTTTTATGAAATTACCCGTGCCACGGTCTATCCCATGGTGGGAATCCCGCGGGTTTTGTCCAGGTCTACTAGGGATCTCCCTTTTAGTTCCGAACCGTGGCTTATTATAGGGCATCCTTGATCGTAGGGCGGGACCCGTCGTAGGATCTTCCCTATTAGCGATAATCATGGCGTGTCGTAGGATACTCCTTATCCTGCGATCTTGCTTATCGTGCGATCGGCCTTTTCCCAGGATCGCACTGAACCGTAGTCTTTCCGTAGTGACCCTCGGTTATCACGTATTGTGCGTCCTATTGTGGAGAGGCTATGGTTCTCCGAACCATGCCTTGCACGTGACCTGCACGTCGTCCCGTTCATCCAGGATGATTGGGTATAAGTGCCCCGCGGGTGGTGCGGCCCCCTGTAGGTCCGTAACACCCTGATCATTCCGCTAGATAAGAAACCTCACCCCGATCTCACTTCTCTCACCCAGTCTCCAAAGTTCATGGTGAAATTTAGAGAAGTGAAGAGCTCCGTTCTCTCGGGAATATATTTTACTGATCTGCTCCACATCCCTTTTTCTTTCTCTCTTTAGCTTGACTGTCTTCGTTCACTGGACACTGGACTTTTTTTTGAGCAGTCTTGTAAGGACCGCGGTTATTTACTCTATTTTTCAGTGGTATAAAACGCCGCTCTCGCACAATGGCGATTCGAGGGGAGAATTATTCATGGATAGCTCCCGTAACGTATTATGATTTTTGCGTCACATGCAAGATAGTTCTGGTTTAAATTTTATCTTTCAGAATCTAGTTCTAGACTGAAATGCCAATTTAAATGTACACTCTCCCTTTTATAAGGATTTGCGAAATGGTTTTGGGTTCCGGGCCAAACTCTATGCAAATGCTGGTTCTAGATGTCCAGCTCTCCGATTCTAGCACGGCGTCCGGCACACATCCGTATATACAAGAGAGACATTACGACTGTGCAGGTATTTACTTGCCGGGGGAGAACTTGTGAGCACCAGTGTTCTCGAAGCCACCATCAGCTTGGATGTAGCCGGCAATAGCATAGTAGGAGTTGTTAATATAATTGGCAGTGGAGTTGATTCCGATCTGCTTCCAAGCGTACAAGCCATTGGAGATATCGTCGCCGACGTAAGAGTACTCGACAAAGGGATCGTACTCCGAGTCAGCCTGAAGCTTAGCCCACTGGTCTTCGGCGTTGCTGGTGACGGCAACGGTGTTGGTGTTGTATGGGTAGGACGCCTCGACGGCGGAGCGCAGCTTTTCGTTGTAGAAGAGTTGACCGTTGTGGGTGATGGAACCTGTGTTCACCAGGAGCGTTCCGTTGGGCAGCAGGGTTGCATTGCTATGGACCAAAAGGTGGGTGTGGGTAGCACGACCGCTGTAGTGGCCAGGGAAGATGGTGTCGAAGACAGCAACGCCGTCCTTGTCGGTAGGCTGAATGCCTCGGAGGTACGTGCTGTTCCAGCCATCGACGGCGTAGTTTCCTTCTTCCGAAATTCCACTATGGATCACATTATCTTCCGAAATCGTAGTGTCGGAGCAGTGGATGCATACCTGTACACTCCGGTGGCATTGGCATTCCAGATATCGACGAAAAGATCTGGCAGAGGCTCGCAGGTGTTCACGTCAATGTACTGGACCTCCAAGTGCATGGGCACACCCTGGGAGCAGATATCCTCGACGACATTCTGGCGGACCAACTCGCCCCAAACGTAGTAAGGACCGTCGGTGATAACAGGGGCAAGAATGCAGCTGGTTTCAGCATTGAAAAGAGCCTCCGGGCTGGAGATTCCGGTTTTGTTGTGGCTCACGGCTTCCCACTTCGCGAGGTCCTCCGCAGTACGACGGTTCACACGGTGCTCTGAAGAAGTAAGTAAAGTGCCAGAAGACCACCGGGGTGAAGAGACCTACTGTCGGAGTTGGCGACCTTCTCACGAAGCTCGCGGAGCTTGAGTTCACGGCGCTTGATGTTCCGGGATTGAAGAGAACGGGCAGATTCGGAGCGGGCGCAAGCGCTGAGCGAGCGTTTGCCATGCGCCGCCCACGCCTTCTGGGCCGCAATTTCCCTTTTCAGCTGACCCGGGTGGTGCTTCTTTCCAGGGTGGGCCAAAACGAGGCAAGCCATCAGGGCCACCATCAAAAGAGCGTGAACGAAATGCATGGTTGTGAATAATTGCTCTTTGGTAGAGCCGGTAGTGAGACCTGTTGCACAATAATTCAAAATCTGGCTCAAAACAGAGAGCATGGGTCTCATTTATTTCTGGCTTCAAAATCCAGAACCGAAAGATCGGCGCTCATTTTCTGAGAGATCGATTCAGTTATTTTCGAAGTACCGAGCTGACGTATTGCGGGGACAACTTTGCAAGTTCTCCTATCCATTGATGAGGGTGCGATTCGTAATACTTTTTTTGGCTACTGGGACTGTTCCCCGTTTGGTCAAGATCGACCGATTCCTCGCGCGGCCTCCTGCGTCATGCGGCTGTGGCTGACGATTAGCTCGGACCCCCGTAGAAATGATCGACATTAACTGTGGGGAGGCCAAGAATCCAAGAAAACAAGATGCGTCAGGCACTGACGGCGACCACTTGAATATAGTTTCAAGGGTCGCACTATTGTTCTAGAAAGAGTAGACGGCAAGCCCCGCTTGTCCCATGTTGCCGTCCCTGTAGGCCATGGGGATCTTTAAAGTTATGAAAAAAAGAAAAAGGCCAACGATCCAGGCTAGTTCCCCCTACACTGGTTAAATTGGGGTCGAAATCGGGACACGTAAAAAAAAGGGCTTCGGAGCCCCGTCCCTTGAAACCCAGGTTTAAGCCGGCAAGACTTAGAAATAGCGAGACCTTATTGGCTTGTAATTGCCGAGATTTAACCCCGGGAAAAGTTCGACAATTCAGGTCGGCGCATGTGCCAAGAAAAGCCAAGCAAGCCTTTAGACTTGTTATACCTCGTGACAATTCCTACTGTACGCGCGTCCCAGGGGTCGCCCTAGACCTTGATAGTGTGAACTTGAATGATATAGATCGCAATAAAATGGTGGATTTATTCGTCGCTTTCTGGTATCAATTCATTCCCGTCGCTTGTTCTCTCCACTCTATAGCAAAACCTTTAACATGCAGCTCTCTCAGCTTCTCTGGGCTGCTGGTCTGATGACCGTGTCTGTCTCTGGTGAATATCAATTTCCTCAGGGTCCATCAAGAGAGCATTAGCTAACAATTGCATATTAGCCCATCCGGAGGTCGTCGATCACTCCAAGGTTGCGCGCCGGCATGCGAATCATGTGAATACCCGATCCACTTCCTGCGCGGCGAAGCTCGAGGCCCGACGCGATGCTACTATCGCGAGACGCAAAGAGCGCGTTGCGAGGCGTCAAGTCGCCCGAGGGCTTTCTAGCGGCCACTCTCTAGCTGCACGCAATGTCTTCGATACAATCCAGAACACAACTTGCGTCCTCGCCCCTGAGACCGTTTGGGGTCCTTATGGCATTGATGGTGAGCTTCACCGTCACGATGTTCGTGAAGGTCAACCTGGCGTGGACCTTTACCTCGATATTGGTATTATTGACGTCGAGACCTGCGAGCCACTCCCTGACGCTTGGTTGACAATCTGGGTACGTACTGGATAATCCGGCACTATTGACCAGCCTGCCTCTGAAGACGAGAAGAGTAGCTAATCTATCTGATAGTCCTGCAATGCTACTGGAACCTATTCTGGGTTCACCGGCATCGATCCGGATACTGCCTCGGCCTATGATGGCTGGACTACCCGCAGTGACGGCACCACGGATGAGAAGACATTCCTCCGCGGTATCTCCAGGACCGATTCCGCTGGCATGACGGAGTTCCTGACCACCTTTCCAGGCTACTACATCTCTCGTACCACTCACATCCACGTGACCGTGCAGACCAACGTGACGGGCAAGGACAGCAGCTACAGCGATGCTGACGTCCAGCACCTTGGTCAGCTGTTCTTTGACGAGGACCTCATCAATTCGGTCTACCAGCTCGCTCCCTACAAAGCTCATCTTGCGACCTTGAACCGCACCACTAACGCCGAGGACTCTCTTTACTCTTCTGCAAATGGAGACGGCTACTCCGCCGTAGTCGACGTTTCCAAGCTGGGCGAGTCTCTCGCCGATGGTCTTGTGGGATACATCACCATTGGTGTTAACCGCACTGCTACTCCTGCTTTGACTACTGGTGGCAGTGTCAATGTTCTTGGCGCTCTGCCTACTGTGACCCCGTCTGCTGGTGCTCAGGCTTCTGCTTACGCTCTTGATGCCTCCGAGGGCTATTTTGAGAAGCACTAAACTGCGATCTTGGTCTAGAACTGCCGAGGTCTGCGCCCTGGCTGCTCCTGTGATTGGTTAAAAATAGTGAAATATGCATATATTCATGTTCTACTGAATGCGAGACCATTCCAACAGTTTAAAATCTTGTACAGTCCTCTACGGATCTTGGGGCAAAAGCCCTCGCCAAACTCTCAAAGCGTAAGCTGAGGCTTAGTCTGGAGCCTATTTTGGAGCGTAGTCTGAATGTTCACGGAGAGCATCTATAGTCCACGTAGAGCGGGCATCCTGCATTTTATACCGCTACTGGTAGTACCATTGAAATCTTCGGCAGACACACGGGCATGCATGGATCCATGAGTAGCAAAGGCTTAGTATCAACATACCGATGCTCTGGTTTAGCGTGGGGTTCAAAATTGTGGAAATGGCACATCTTGGATGAAAGTATTGCAGTCACCTCTCTTAAGAAAACCAGCCGCAGCGGTATAACCTTTGTCCAGCGACATATGTTTTGTAGCACTGAGGATACATGTATGCTGAGAATTTTTTAGGTTTGTTTCAATGCTTGATGATACCACTTATTTTCGTGCTGTAAGAAGGCATCTGGTTTATACTGCTCCTCAAGAAGGATGTTGGATAACTTGACAACGATAAATGCGATGCAGGGCCATAGCAAAATCGGCCTTTCGACCCAAATTGACTGTCAACTCTCCATCTGAACAGTGAGGACTCGCTTCCTGTGGCTATTCCCATCAACGATCAAGACCACGTCACGGGCATGTAGGAGGTTTTGACTGGCTGGGTGATCTGCGTATTCTCCACGCTGGAATTGCTCTTAGTCTATCGGGTTGTCGCAAGAGCTATCATATCACAACAGCTGTGAAAATTAGTCAATGAAGCTCGAGTGTAATCAACCATTTGTTCGGTCAAGAAGTGTGGGAGTCTCCGTCCCGCCCCGCCTTGCGGAGCCAGGCTTAATGGCGGCGCACTCAAGGTTTTCCCTTCCCCCGGCCGCTGGCGCTACACTCTTAAGGCTTTACGTTATGATGGGCTGGGCTCTTACGGCATCTCCGAGTGGAAGAAATTGATGTGGTACCTCGAGGCATGGAGAGAGGGAACTGAATGGGAGAGCATGATGAGAGGAAAAATGCTCCCTCGACACAGCCGCCTGCCAAGCACTGGCGGTTGGAGATTGCCGAAGTTCATCTCCAATAGATTGCAATGAGATTGTTCCACAATTTACAGTCTAGGGAGCCTGATTAGAGTATTGATCTGAATCTTCAAGGAGCTTTCTTGGCAACGGTCAGAGGTGCTGGTGGGCAAATGGTGTTCGCGGCTGTGAATCATCATCCCTTTCGATGTAAAGTGAGAGCATCCCATTCTCACCTCTTTCACCAACACATTCTGACGTCCGAAAACACCTAAAACATACAACAGCAGGGATTCGCATGTGATCAGACCCCATACTACTAGCCTACCAGCGTGTGGCTAAAGTACGGCTGAGCGGACAGGAAGCCCTGTTCTCCACACCCTATGGTCGTATGTGTTGGGCAGAAATAGTAAAGGAATACATCATCCTATCAATGTAATGCATGGACGGATGTGATCCTTCGTTCACCTAGAATTCCGTAGTTCTACCGACGCTAGCATTCGAAAATTTCATCCCTCAACTTCACTGGCACTAGAAAATGCTGAGCATTCTGTGCTGAAAAATGCGACGCTCAAATATAGCGCTATCTGGTTTTCCCTTCTCCCTCGTCCCGTCAGGCTACTCACTTCCCAAAAGTCTCCATATCCCAAGGCCCCTGTCTGTATCCCTGAATATTTTCCCAGTTTATCCATGTCCCATCGGCCACTTGGTACTCGGGGAAGTTGATCGCGATAACCTTTTGTTCGCCGGCGAAGCTACCATTGCTGGTAATGAGCCAACCCACTTGGATGTCACTCTACGTTAAAATTTGTCAGTGTCGCAGAGCAAAGATTGGTAAACTCAGAATTGAATAAAACCTTTGGCATCTTCGAGATTTTGTGAGCAAGGAATAACTTAAAAGAGATTTATTGGTAGTGGAGGGTAGATGATATTAGTGTGTAATAGTGAAAGGTTGTTGAAGGTCAGCTTGTGAGCGCGGAAAATCCCACTTTATATGATCGCCCCTTCCAACACTCACCCGGGTGAAATGCATGTCAGGCTTGGCGCTATTAGTGCTAGCTAGACTTGGCTGTATAGTTGAAAGAAACTGATAAGCCGTGGTGGTGAGGTTTATACCCGCACTGCAAAATGAAGTGCCATTGAAAATTAGTTTATAAAGAATAATAAGCGCTATAGAGATCTGATTGGGTATAATTATGACGAATCGAGCATTTGGTTACGGAGCAGGGTGCACCTGCACTGCCATTTGTATCTAGATGTCACTTCTTCTTGTCGCCCGGGCGAGAAATGGATGAGCGCCGCACATCGCCAAAACCTGAAAATGGGCCTAGAGTCAGGCCCAAAGCCCAACCCACTATGGGCTTGGCCCCCATAAAAAGCCTAACTTTACATAAAACTGGTCTTGGCGCTCATAAATCTGCTGACTAATATAGAAAATGCACAAAAAGACTATATATTTTGATTTTTTACTAAAATTAGTAAATGTTTGTACTGTTTGTAGACTAGTGGGCCCCCAACAATGGGCCGAGCAACGGGCCCAAAACCCAACCCATTTGTGGGTTGGGTTGGGCTTTGGGCTTTTTGGGTTTTGGCGATGTCTATTGCTGAGTACCCGAATCTGCTCTTGGTGCGATGGAAATATCGCATCCTATCATATATTTTAGACATTCAAATCCTCTAAATCAGGAATTAGGTACCGGAAGCAGGGGATCATAAAGCAGCTGCTGACCGAGAACCTGTACAATTGGGGGGACGACGCCGAGATCCTACAGATTCCATGGCTGGTCCTACCCGAAGGCAAGGAATTGGCATCCCTAATCGTCGAGTTCACCTCACCGCATCACGCCAATAAATTTATCGACACTGGAACGCTGTGGAACTCAGAGGTCCTTACCTCTGTTTTCTTGTTGGGACATCATGTGATCCCAGCTGTTCTTGCTTCAGTCGGATGAAGCGCCTGCATAGTCATACGCAACTGGTTAGACTGCAACAAGTTGATTGAACTTTGATTGATCGATCGATCGATCGATTGATTGATATTGAGGTGATATTGAAGTCTTGTTGCTCTTGCATATACACTGACAGATCTTATGATTGATAGTCATCAAGCGAATTCGAAGCATATGCCAGATTTTCAATAACAGCCAAACCATACTGCGCGATATCGTTAGTTGCGAGCCATGCGGCCTCATCGACGGGCATCAATACAGCACTCCCATTCACATGCGTAGTGTTCCATGCAGCGTCCGGTGCAAGTCCATCGCTGTCATAGAAGTCCTTCCAAGCTCGAAGCGCAAGAGTACTATTCTGCATCTCGTGCGCCGCATATGCTGCCAGTCGAGTGTGCGCTTGGTATAAGCTTTGGCTGCCGAAGCTCACCCCGTAACGGGCCTTTTGCTCCGCCGCTGAGGCATGATAGTAGTAGCAGTAATCCAACCAGGCTTCGTGGAACCCTTCTGGGATATCATCGGCAAAATATGCGATAGCCTCGGAAACAACCTCGGGAAGACCAAAGACAGCGGATAAATGAGAGACAGACACGTTTCCAAGATTGTCCGGATCAGCAGGTGGAGGCCCTAAGGTCCACGTTACCGGGTCGTAAAGACCTGACCCGGTCACGAAGCCGTTGGTCAAGTTTGCGATTCCCGAGATTGTGTTGGTCAATTTTGTCCTAGCCTCTTTCCATCTTGAACCCCGCCGCTCCCACTCAATCAACCACCCTGCAGCGAGACTCGACCAGTCCGTTCCAAGACTAAAAGCAACTGTCGAATTGGGGCTAGGTGTCCAGCCATCGGTACGGACCTTCCTCTGCGGATCGAGCGTCCCGTACGTCTTATCCGTGTCAAGCAACTCCTCCAGCAACTCCCCAATTCGCTCGTCCCCACCCGAGAGATAGAAAAAGTACTTTCGATACTGCGGTTGAGAGATACGTGCTTGTTTGGCGCTATCACCCCAATGTTGCACACCGTGACGCGTGCCCAGCCCTTTCCAGTCGCCGATGTGGTACACATCTACTTCACCTGTGTGTCGTGTAAGGGCCTCGGCAAACCGGTATGCATCTTCGTGGCCGGTGCGAAGGAAGTAGAGCCAGAAGAAGAGGTCTGGAGAAAGCTCCGAGTTGTCCCAGGCGTAACCGCCCACGTCGTACCGCCAGGTATGTCGGTCAGTGTCGTATGTGTGCATGAAATCGCCGTAATCCAAGAAGCCATACCAGCGCCGCTGCTCAATTTGAGTCCGGTAATATTCAAAGATAAAATCAAGGTGAGCTTCCAGCGTACTTGCAGCATCGCCAACGCTGTCAGGGATGGTCCAGTATCCTCCAAGGGCTTGGGTTTCCTGGATATATTTCGATTCTGGTACCAACACGGGAGGATTGTTTATGTACATAGAAAGCTCGGCGAGTCTTTCACTTTTCGGTGTTTGATCAAACGCGAACAGGTATATCTCGCTCGTTCGCGCGATTCCATAGGGAGTGTTGAAGCCGGGTTCATAGTCCTCGTAGGTGATCTCGAGAGCATCCAATTGATCTTCATATCCGTCCTCGTTCAGGCCGTCATGGAAGGGCCGAAGGTCCAATGGATCGGCGGCAGGGCTGTATAGCCAAAGAGTGACTTCGCCTGTGTCGGAGGCAGCGTTGGAAATGTCAAAGCCGGACGGATAACGTTTCCAAAAGTCCCGTAAACCAACGGCGAGGCCTCCTTTCGTAGCACCTCCCAGGTAGGCCAGACCTTCAGCACGTGTTCCGCTGGGGATTTTGATCCACGACTGGCCGGACTTTGTCCGTTTTTTAAGGCTGAATCCGTCGGCCGTCAGTTGAGTCAGGCTGTAGTCTGTCCACGTGGGAATCCATTTGAGCCGGGTGGTAACCCGACTGTCCCAAGTTGCTGTGTCTGCCAACTTCTGACCTTCATACTGAGCAGTTCTCACTTCTTCGCCGGGATCTCTTCGAAGTCCGGTGATTCCCTGAACAGCCTCATTGAAAATACCGCCATCTACGCCAGCAAATCTGACGTGTCGATCATAGTATTCCTCGCCCTCTAATGGGACATCGAATCGAATACCGAGTCCCGTAATAAAGTCCTTATCGGCTTCTCCATCGAAAACGATGCTATGCATCACTTTTACAGAGGCGGAGTTGGCATAGAGATAGAATCTAACGACAAATTGGAGCCATTGATCGTGATCAGCGCCGTCAATCACCGTGTGATTTCCACGAATAGTGACGAGGGTCCGAATCGAGCTCTGGTTCACGGATACCTCATCAATGATGCTGTGGAAGTTGGAATATTGGATGGACGAGTTTGATCGGCTGTCAAAAGTGTCGGGCACCGAATCCTGAGACTGAAGAACAAGTCTTCCATTCTCGCCGACCGTCTTGCCGCTTTTGGTCTTGATGGCACTGACTAGGATATTCCCTTCCTTGAGAAACGAGACGGTAATCTCACCCGTGTTGACACTAACCACATCAGACCCGTCGGACACGATGATGGAGCTGTTCTTTGTACCAGATTTCCCAAACGAGGTAAGTTTATGGGCGCAGCCCAGAGACGATGCAGTGACAGTGTAGTTGTCGTAGGTTGTATTAGACTCTGCGATAGCGTGGCCCGTCCATTTCAGCGAGCCATCGGCCCAATAGCCGGTAGCCCAAGACTGCAATTTTTGTCTATCTTCGGAGTCGCCAGCCATTTGGAAGCTGGTTCTCTTGGGATAATACTTTCCTTGCGGCCATGGTAAACCAAAAGTTACACCGGCATTATACGATGGTTTATCGCCGAGCCAATGGACAGTCGCAGATGAAGAGGTGCAGTTGGAAGCTGAAACGTGGGATATAAGAAGCCCAACCAAAAACAGGAAGCCAATGCCAAGTTTCGGCATGGTTAGTTATTAGGCGGATGTAAAGACTGTGTAAACAGGCGAATTGAAAGACTGACGAATTATCAAGTTTGGAGAGGGAGACAGCACTTCTTAAATGTCCCCTGACGCAACTTGACAGAACTATGAGGATGAGAAAAAGAATCTTGGCAGTTTCAGTAGAGACAAGGGGAAATAACATCTTGGCATGGTGTACGTGCCATGACCGGGATGGTTTCAAAGTGATCATGATTGGTGGTAAGCTCAGCTGAAAATTACCGAAGGAAGTAATATCGGGGTCACATAAACCTAACAATTGTCATAGCTCCTAAGTCCTCTGTCATTTCCCCGCTTCAATTGCGAGATGCATTCGGGAATATCGGCGTAAGGAAAGCGGCAGCGGGGAATGATGACCCCGGAAATACATTGTTCCGCTTGCTTTGGTCTTGGCAGAAAAAGGTCATTGGCCTGGGACTTGTCTCGGAAGGTGCGGGGTCCCCGCACTTGGCATGCGGAAGTATCATTTTGCTCTGCTGTATCTACAATATGTCTCAGTGCCCTTCACCCATGAACAAGGCGGTCACAGTTTTGATTTCTTATTTAATCAGGTTCTCCACGTTCCTTATTTTCGGCGTAGTTGAGAGCGAATAGATGGGGTGGCGGTTGGTTGAATGAGCCTATTCCTGGGCGAGCGGGGTTTCGTCGGCTCTCGGGCTATCTCATACGGGCTTCGGGGGAGCCACGACGCACAAAGGATCAAGTATCTCCTCACATCTTATGCACCCCAGATTTGATCTCGCGTACCCAAAGCTGGTACGAGAAGATCCATTGAGCAGAATGTCGGAATCTGTGACCAATCATACCCACCATGACAAGGAAAGCAGCAAGCTGCCAGAGCTGTCGGTTGCCTGTAGTAACTGCCGCAACCGCAAACTGCGCTGCTCTAGGGAAACACCCGCATGTCAACACTGCCGCAAAACTGGTCAGCTAGTACATTCGTATTTCCTCTGTCATCTAAGACAAATTCACTTCGTACAATGTCGCTAATTCGACCCCGGTATAGGGAGCGACTGTGTATACGAACCCAAACGGTCCAAGCCGGGGATTAAACCCGGGGCCATTGAATATTTACACCGACGGCTAGGTATGACAATGAAGAGTGCTTCTGCGGGTGAACTTATG